AAATTCTAACCAAGTTATATTTGAATTTTTAGGAAAGGGACATTCCTACATCATAGCTAGGATGGATGAAAGAAATCCATACGCTCCCAAAGCCAGATGTAATGTTAAGAATAGCTCTGGAATGCAAGGAGTTCAAGTCTTACTGGCATAAAATATATGTTCCTAGGAGAGATAGACAAAAGTCAGCTCTGATTCTTGGTCCTTTCCTCGGTTGATTCCTTCTCAATATAGGCAAAGAAATTAAGTGACTGGAGTTAAGTGTCAGTGAAAAGGGAAGGAGGCTGGTTTTAAGTGGGAAAATGTGATTTAACTGTAATTACTAACATATCATTTGTGGGTGATGATAAAAAAAAGTACACACACACACACACACACACACACACACACACACACACTAACTTCTGGGTTTGTAAGTGGCAATCCACTATCTAAGATCCAAACTTTTACAAATCTACTCCCTTGTGCTTTAAGATTGTATTACTTTTCTATTGGTCCTGTAACAAATTACCACAAACTTAGTGGCTTAAAACAATACAAATGTATACTTCTACAGTTCTTGAGATCATGAGCCCAAAATGAGCATTATGGGACTAAAATAAAAATCAAAGCGTCAGCAGGGCTGATTCCTTCTGGGGGCTCCAGGGAAGAATCCATTCCTTGCCTCTTCCAGCTTCTAGAGGACGTGGGCATTCCTTGGATCATAGCCTTATCACTCTAATCTCTTGGTTCTGTTGTCACATCTCCTACTTTTATAGTCTCATCTTCCTCTGATTCCCTTTTATAAGGACACTTGTGACTACATTTAGGGACCACCTGGGTAATCCAAGGATAATCTCCCTATCTCAAATAAGTCCCTTTTGCCATATAAGGTAAGGCTTATGGGTTCCAGGAATTAGGACTTGAATATCTCTGGGGGGTCATTATTCAGCTTTCCACAAAAGTAGTTTAGAATTTTTTTAGATAACAATATAGTAATGTGTTTAATGCAAAAAGTCTATCACTAAGTTTAATATGTGAATTAATTAAAAAATAAGTACCAATTAAAAATAAGTATTTGATTAAGGAATCTTTTATATCATCAACTAGTTCATTAAATGACAAAGAACAAATAACCTAAAAACAAGTTCTTTGGCTATCATTCCATATAAAATAAGCAAGTATTTGAAAAAGAGGTATAGGTTCTAAGAAAGGAGAGAACATGTTATTTAAGTACACACTTGGAATAAAGATACAATATTGGCTGATAATAGTCACTCCTTATGTGGCCAAAGGGTTCGTATAACACACCTAAAATTATCAGGCGTGCTCAGAACAGAGAGGGTAAGAAACTTGAATTCTAGAGATTCTAAATTCCTTCTCAGATCCAACTTAATAATACATGATCACAAAGAAGAAAAAAGGATGAAAACCAGCCTGTATTGAATAATGCTTTGATTCTAGTAGGTTGGCCAATCTCCTTACCTAGGCTGGAATAAATGTGGCTGAGAATACGAGCTGGTTGTACTCTGATGGGGTATACTTCAGCAATGGTCTCCACGTCAATTCCCTTGTCCTTCAAAATGGACTTGATTTCTTCTGTTTCAGCTAGAATGGAGACTATAGGAGAAAAAGAAGATGAGGTCAACAGAAAATTTTATTTCAATAAAAACCTAAAAATCTCTCAAGTCATATAACTTCTTTTGAAGAGATAAAAAAGGAAATGGGAGGAAATGAATAGTTATGAGGAACTTTGATGAAACAATTGTCATGCTAAATACTTAATATTACCTAAATGGAAAAGGAAAAGATCTCAAGACCAGATAGAGTATTAGATTTTGCCTTTCGGCTAAATACTTATGTGCTCCTAGAGAATACTACACATGGTGAATTGGGGATAACAATTTGAGTCATCAACATATAGAAGATAATATAGCTGAAACTGTGTGTTTCTTAGGAGGTAGGTAGTGGGGGCTGGGGAGAGATAGGGATGATACTTCTCTAGATTCAGAGCCTGCCAAGCCTGGACAGCTCCCTTTTCTTCCTCTTATACTCATGTCATTGAAGTGAGAAGCCCAACTACAAGAGAGGAGGCTCAGCCAGCTTCCTGATTCTTTTCACTTTCCCTCTATGGAACAGATACCTGGCTGGGGGCCAGTAATCCAATTGAGGCTTTAGCTGTCTTGACACTAAGCACCAGTGGCAAATGTGCCCTCTACTCCTGCTCCTCTAGTGCTGGCAGATGTGCTGGATTGTTCACAGGAAAAAGAATGCACTGCTTGGTTCATTCTAGCTTGCCAGTATTTTCTACATTGAGTTTTTGAAGCAAAAGCGTAGTTAACAAAGTGCTACTTTGCCTTCCTTTGCCAATATTCTTTGTGTATTTTTCTATCTTGTGAACCTCATATTAATGGGCTGCTGTGGTCTGGACCAGGATATGCAGGATATGGCGATCACAGAGTCCCCTGGATATAACACCATCTTGACTACTTCTAACTGAAAACATGAAAATAAAAGAGATTCTTCAGGGAAAATGTACAGAGGAAGAATGATAGTGGGCTGAGGACAGTCCAGAAAAACACATATGGCAATCTACTCTTTTATTAGTAAACATTTATTAAGTGCCTAAATGGATAAGATACTATGCTAGTCACTAGGGATCTAGAAATGAATAAATTAGTTTCTCCCTCAAGGAGCTCACAGTGTAATAGAAGTGACATACACATGGATTATAAAATAACCTGCTAGGTAAATAGAGATAAGTGCACAAAACTTTATGAAACCTTCCAGGAGTGACATCTAGGTAGTGTGGGGTTGGGAGGAGTGGTGTCAGGAAAGGCTTCGGAAAAGAGCTGATGCCTAAACTGAGTTTGAAAGAATGAATAAGTCAGCCAGGAGAAACAAGGGATAGAGTATAGCCCTAGGGTATAGCCATTCTAGGAAGGGGGTCCAGCATGAACTTATCAAGCATAGAGATGAAAAAGAGTGTGGCTGCATGTGTAGGGTGAAGTAGGAAGAACCACATACTCTTCAATATTGCTGTAGTATAATATACCTTGCCTAGTGGCAAAAGAAGTGGATCTGGAAAGGTAGACGGGTTAGAGCATCATGAAGGGCATATGCATCACTTGATGGATTTTGTATTTCATTTTTGGGCAATGCTTTCCAAACTGCTTTCTACGGAGCATCAGGATTCTTCAGGGGAATTGGTTGTAAGAGTACAGGAAACTGAAGGACAGTCTAGTGAACAATACTCTGGGGCCCCAGGAGTACCTTCAACCCAAGCAACTCATTTTTTGTTTGTCTTATAAAATAGTTAGAAAATTCTCATTTAGTGCCTCTTATGTGCTAGGCACTGCCATATTTAAGGACATGATCCCTACATGGAAAAAATGAGACTGATATGGAGTCCTGCTAGAGGCCTGGATAGATGCTAACCTGCAAGAGGATATGGTAAAAGTAAGGTAGAAATTGTTCCAGACAGAAGAAACAGCATGGGCAAAGGCTCAAGGGGACAGAGAACAAGGTAGAGCTAGGAATTATAAAAAGCTCTTTATAGCAAGAACATGTAGTACAAAGGGGCAGTGATGAAAAATGAAGATGGAGATGGGGTCAGGGGCTAGATCTAAAGGGCCTTAGAAACCATGTTAAGGAGACTGTCAATGGGAAGCTTTTGTAGAGGTATAATCAGAGGAATACCATATTAATACTTATATCTTAAAAAGGGTACATTCAGGTTGATAAAGAATAAACTGATAGACTGTAGTGAGCCTAGACTGAAGACCAGCTAAAATATCACTACAGGGCTGGGCATGGTGGCTCACACCTGTAATCCCAGCACTTTGGGAGGCCAAGGCAGGTGGATCACCTGAGGTCAGGTGTTCAAAACCAGCCTGGCCAACATGGTGAAACGCTGTTTGTACTAAAAATACAAAAATTAGCTGGGCATGGTGGTGCACACCTGTAATCCCAGCTACTCCAGAGGCTGAGGCAGGAGAATTGCTTGAACCCAGGAGGCAAATGTTGCAGTGAGCCAAGATCATGCCACTGTGCTCCAGCCTAGGTGACAAAGTGAGACTCTGTCTCAGAAAACAAAAAGTTACCACAGTAATGTGAGGGAGAGATTGTTGATTACCTCCATTAGGATCAAGATATTGGTACTGGAGAAAACTGGATGGATCTCAGAATTATCTAGAAAATAAAGCAGCCAGAACTTGAGGAAGATATCAAGGAGGATTCCCTAGGTGTTTACTTATATAACTGGGAGGACACAGGCATATAGGAGGAAAAGCAGGTCTGGGTGATGTAGTACTAGGAGGGTGTAGCTGCTTAATTTTAGACATGTTGAATAAATTTACAGTGCAAGTGAGACACCAAAGTGAGCCTATTTTAAAGGAAGCTGATATAGATTCAGAAGTCATTAGCACAGAAAGAGATTAGATGGGTCAAGGAGAATACATAGAAAAAAGGAGAAGAGGACCTAGAATATAACCTTGGGAAATGCCAACATAAAAGACATGGGCAAATGAAGAAAAGCCTGGGGTGAGGTAGAGGAGTTCTTACACCATGACTTATATTTCTCTATGGTATAGGAGGTAAGATCATATTGAGAGTAAGAGAAGAACTAAGAAGGTGGAAAGAGGGAAGAGGGAAAAGGGAAAAGGTTGGAATAGGAGGATGCTGAAGGACAGAAACAAATATTCAGAGAAGGAAGAGCCATGGGCTAAGGACAGAATTCTCAGAAATACCAACAGTTAAGGGGCAAAGAAGAGGTAGACCAGAATGAAACAGAAACATGCTTAATCTAGGTTGAAGAATATTCAAGAGAGTATGGCATCATAGAAGACATGGGATACAGATTAAATAATCTGGTAAGATATAGATTAAAAAGTGTCTACCAAATTTGGCAATACAAAGGTCACTGGTAACTTAAGCAAGATCATTTTCATAGTAGTATGTCAGACTATAAAAGACTGCAGAATAAAGGGAATGTAAAAAAGCAGAAATTTGGATGAGAAAGAAAGAAGCTATATAGCGTAACTAGAGGGAGATGAACGTGTCAGTAGACTAAACAAAATAGCACCAACAGAATGCGAGAGTTTGAGGATTCCAGGAAAGAGCAAGTTTCTAGAGAAGGCTGGGGAAGAAGATAATGATCAAGCATCAGAAGGAAGACTCTTCCTAGAATAGGAGAAGAAACCCCTTTTCTGAGTCTGGAAAAAATGAGGCAAGACTGTAGGGGTGGGGAAGGCTGAGACACTGACAAAGATCAGAATATTATCCGGCATGAAGTAGCAGGCCAAGAATTAGGCTGAAAACAAGAGGTGGGGGTTGAAAACAGAGGAGGTTTGGAATAGTGGTTGAGAAGTATGAAAATGCTGACTAATAAGAACAAGGATGAACAGGAGGCACTGTAGACCTAGCTGAGTTGGAGACTATGATTCCCAGTGCCACCACTCTGGTCATTTGTGTGATTTTTTTTTCCCCAGTAGCTTTTTAGCAGGCCAGGTATAGGGTCAGAAAATGCAGACTGTAACACTGACCTGGGGCTATGATTTTTCTGGTGTGTATAATAGAAGTATGGTGTATTGGTGACTGGGAGATTTAGATGAACAACCATGAGGTAGAGAAGGGTAAACTAGGAGAAAATATAAACAAGGGTAATGGGAAGAAAAAGAAAGCTGAAATAATATTATGACTATGATCAAACAGTAGAATATTGGAATTTTAGAAATCTGAGGTGAAAGAGCCCTAAAGTTTGGTCCTTGGAGTGAGTGGCTAAAAGTATAGGTAGAAGGAAAGGTCACTAGAGTTATGGATATCCAGAACTTTGAGACTAAGTGTTAGATTGCACTGACATCAATGCTAAAATCTAGTTCTATGGCAAGATTTGGAGAGGAGGAAGAAGGCTGCAGCCAAGCCTTAAAGTCTTCAAAGAACGAATTAGAGCAACAAGGAGATCAGCATAAACAGATGGAATAAGCCTCAAAGGAGAAGATTTCTCATGGGAAGGGGAGAGTAATGATTTTTATATAATATTTGCTATATACATTGATAAGTAAGGACTACCTGCATGATCACATGGGATGCCAAGTTTAAGAAAATTTAGAAAACACATGGGATTATTTTCCATATAGAACCAACCCTAAAGTCAAGTGACTGGAGACATTTCAAAGGAGCTTCATAATACCACATTGGATTGTAATGTTAGAGAGTCAAAAATGACCTCGAGTCTTCTGCCCTAAGAAACTACAATAATGGTTGGTGATATCATTGAGAGAAATAAGGAAGGGAAAAGGATTTGCATTGCTTAGTAGAGGCAAAAGGATGGGATGGAGACAAAAGAGATCAGTTTTCAGTTTCAAGTGTAAATGGTAGAGAAGTTTTATGGATATTGGAACTAGATTTCTTAATATGTTTATAGAACTCAGCCTAGTGTTTTGCAGAAAGTAGATGCCCCAAATTTAGGTAGATTGTTAGGAATAAAAGCAAAGGGTTGGAGTATTCTCCAAAGAGGTAATAGTTGGGGCCATGGAAGCAAATTTACTATGAGGGAGGCAGGCTTAGCTAACTAATATGGGATGCAAATACAGAAAGACAAAAGTATAAGACTAAGGCAGAACCATTAGGAAGATATATAAAGAAAGTAATATAGTAGAAATAGCACAGAAGGACTGGTCAGAGAGAAAGCATAAATAACTGGGAGGCTAAAATGTTATGACAATGAAAAGAAAATAATTTCCAGAAATAAGGAGTGGTTAAGAGTGTCAAATAATATTTTGGAGTCCTCTAACATAGCACATCATTCGTTTATGATTAAGATTACCAGCATTTTGAAACCAAATTGAACCAAGTTCATCATACATTTTTTGAAGCCTAATAAAATGCAAGATATAGAATAGTCATAATTTACTAGCCTAAAGATCTCTGCCCCTAATCAGACCTTTAATATAAAGTTTCTTCCACTGGGAATAAGAATACATACCTTGAACCACAACGTCTGGTTTTGGTACAGTAGAAAACCTGCGATTCAGGGGATCAATTTCTCCAGGGGCTAAAAATCCCTTAAAAAACCCACAAAAAGACAGATTATTAAGTCTCAAAAGAGAAGCTAATATTTGAAGGAAAACAACATCCCTATGCCCATAACCTTGCACCATAACAGTCAAGAGGCAGGTATAGAAAGGAAACAAATGCCTTCACTGTGTGAAAATGTTTGAACTCCCAAATTCGCACCAAAATTCATTTTATCTAGAGTTAATTTCCGTTGGCTGCCACAAATCCATTTTGGAAATAAATAGGATATATATATATATATATATATATATATATATATATTTTTTTTTTTTTTTTTTTTGAGACAGGGTCTTTCTCTGTCACCCAAGCTGTAGTGCAGTGGTACAATCATGGCTCACTGCAGCTTCAGCCTCTTGGGCTCAAGTAATCCTCCCACCTCAGCCTCCCAAGTAGCTAGGACCACAGGTGTGTGCCACCTCACCTGGCTAATTAGTTTACTCATGGAGACGAGGTCTCACTTACGTTGCCCAGGCTGATCTCAAACTCCTAGACTCAAGCAATCCTTCCTCCCGCTTTGGCCTCCCAAAGTGGTGGGATTATAAGCACGAGCCACTGCACCCAGTTGGGTATAAATTATAAATAAACAGAAAGCTTTCTGGTTATTTCTTTATCTTCTCTGAATATACATGATTAGATGATTAGATCACAATGCTTATCAGTAATTTAAGCCATTAGTCCTGCTGTTTTCTCATTTGTTCATGTATCTACTATGCCTTTTGCACATCAGAAATCTTTTGACTTGAGTTTCTGCCCTTTATGAAATAGGATGAACTCACCTATTTTTTCCTTAAGAATACCAACTACTGTGGTATTCCTTTTTTATTATTAATTTATTCTAATTGAATGAGAAAGTCACCAGGTAAGGATTATTTAAACAAAACATTCTGCCCATTATTGCTAGGTTCATTTAGTAATGTCAACTAAGAGTAATGAAACAGCCATGGCCACAGGGACCAAAAAAAAATGAACAAAACAGCTTCAAAAATCAATGGTTATACATAAACAGGTCGAAGAGTCTGTCTCAGATAGGATAGTTAAGTCCCATTCTTGATCTTCTAGGAGCCTGGGTTATATTTTATCGAAATAACATACAGTGGGGAAGTAGGCCTGCCAGATGATCTGAAAAATTTCTAAGAAAGAGAATGCCTCTGTGCGGGCTCAAAATGTCACAAAGAACGTGGACACAAAGTCAGAAACTCCTAAATGCCTCAATAAGGGCTATCTCAACAGAATCTGCTATAAGGAACATTTAGAGAGCCCCTTAACAAAAAGCAAACAAACAAACATAAAAGCCAAAACAAACAAACAAAAAGCCACAATGTTCCTAATCACTTATGCTACCTAAAAATACCAGTTAATACAATTAAAGGATTAAACATTATGCTGCTTGGAAAGGTTTGCACTTAATCAATTATCAATAATTAACTAGCTAAGCACAATTGCATCTGTTAGTCACCAGGAAGGGCACTGAGGGGAGTTTTGAAAGGGACAGATCTGAAGCCTGAGCAGATCCAAATACAGTGCCAAAGTAGGGAGCCCTGGGCAGCATGAGGGACATGGTTGCCAGGGAGCATGAACTTTTTGTAAGGTTTGGCCATGCTCCCTACTCTGAAGACCTAGAGGAAAACTATAATTAAGGCAAAGTGCAAGAGGCAGAGGACATCCTTCAGATTTAATGAGCTACTAAAAAATCTGATTATTATGGTGACTTAAGGCAGAAAACATGTGGGACAGCCTTGAAGATTCCTCACCTCTGCCATCAAGCTTCCTAAAATGTATAGAGACTGACCCCACATATGAGGCAATTTCCCCATGGGGACTCGGTCCACAGTGTGAGGATTCTGATATTCTTCATCAACCTAAAAGAAAAGATGAAGAGGCCAGATGAGGAATAATAGAAGGTTTAAGATACTGGAAAATAAAAATGCTGACTGAATTGTAGTTTATACCCTATATAGCTACATATGCAATGCACTGAAAAGTCAAGCACTATCTAAGGTGGTGCTCCCCAACTGTTACGTGCAGACAGATCACCTGAGGATCTTGTTAAAATGCAGATTCTGATTGAGTGGGTATGAGGTAGGGCCTGATAGCTATTTCTAATAAGCTCTCAGGTGGTGCTGCTGATGTTGCTGGGAGCTTATTCTACTCATCCCTACCAGAATGAAAGACTATTCTCTCCCATGTCTAACGCTCTTTCACAGTGGAGAAGGAACAATGGTATATTCGACTGGAATTTTGGGAAATGACAGTCTGAAAACAAGACATATTCATTTTCCAAGCCTGATCTATTACAGCAGTCCTGGATTACTGGCCTAAAAGCAGATAATACCAAATCTTGAGAATCCACACAGAACATCATCCTAGTTTTTCCTAGTAATCTCTACATCATTCTCAAGATTAAGGTTTGGTCTTGTCCTTGTCTCACTGTGTCTCACAACTTTAAAATTTTATTTTTAAAGGGGTAAAATCATATTTATGTTGTCCTATACCAAAAGACAAACTTTTAGAACATCAAAATAAGAAGATTAAAAATTATTTGACTCAAATGAGGTAGTCTTATCAAGGTACTGCTCCTCTTCTCTACCAGCTACATGTTATGGCACTGACTCACTCTGTCAGGAGGAACACTGTACAGCTCTGGCAGAAGTGGGACTCCATTTTTGCCCTTGATGAGGACTGCTTCAAGAGCCTCTCTATACTCTTGAACCTGCAGATAAAAGAAAGGCAGAAAAAAGACACATACAGAGAGTCCCTTTGGGGACCCAGGAGAAGGTTGTCGCCAAAGAAGGTCCTATTGTAAAGGAGCTTATTCACCCAGTAAAACAGAAAGGAAAGGGCATTTACTAAATGCTCATTATAAACCAAATATTATGCTAGGAGTTCTGCATACTTTAGTGCACTTAACTTTAAAAACTATCCTAGGAGGTATATGTAATTAAGGCTTTTTTACAGGGAATTTGTCTCAAAGAGGTTGTAAATTTGTGGAAGATCAGAGCAAGTACACAGTTGAGTGCAGGGTGTAGCCATGTCAGTCTACTTCCAAAGGCCTGTCTTGATCCACTACGTATAACTTAGGTATAGCTTCCAGATTTGAGGATTTATTGTCTTTAAAACTGCATTTTAACCTACCAAATTAGGTTTCTATTATGGTCAAGTTTATGTTCTGTGCCTAACCATTTGCTAAAGCTTTGCAATGCATAAAATGCAAACAAAACAAAACAAAACAAAAACCAAAACAAAACAAAAACAAACAAAAAAACTAATTTATGATGGAAAAAATACAGTCAGTTCTGCTATAACACTTTCTTTGTAAACAAATTTGTTCCAATGCTTCTGATATATTAGGGAAAAATTTGAGTATAACATGAATCTCATGTTTGTTTATGCACAATTTCATACTGAGAATGTACTCAGCTGAAGTGTAAGAATACACAAAACACACATGCATACAACTCAGGAGAACAATGAACTGTATCCATTCATATCTGTTGTTCCTACTTTCTGTCCAATTTCAAATAAAGCTCCTTTTCACCACTTCCAAACTCACAAGCTGCAATCCTCTAATGGCCACCCTGGTTATGCAGCCACATGCCTTCCCCTCTCCTTAGTTTTCCACCTCTTTCCTCTCAGCCTTTAAAAAAAACTGTCCTCTCTGTTTTATGCTCCTTTTCTCTAACTCTTTTTAATCTCTCTTTTGTTCTCTTCCTCTTGCACATTGTGTAGTGGGCATGAGAGCCAGCTGGGTAAGCTGGTGAGAACATGGGTACATCCTTGCACAAGCAAACTTCGGATCTTTTTAAAGGTAAAAGTACCATAACTATTGAGGTAATTATGGATTTCTTAACTGTTTAACATGTATACCATTATTTTTATTAGGTTCCTATCATTTTGTATGTGTTACATTTTATGTGCTGCCCTTACTCCATTTTCTCATAAGCCCTATAGTTTTTATTTCTTAAATATGCATCGCATGGTGACTTTCTTCTTCTTCTTCTTCTTCTTTTTTTTT